ACTTGGTAGCCCAGGCTGGCCTCGAACTCACAGAGATCCGCCTGGCTCTGCCTCCCGAGTGCTGGGATTAAAGGCGTGCGCCACCACCGCCCGGCCCACAGTTTGCTTTTCTGTGGTTGGCAATCGGATATCTCCTCAGGCCAAGGTGCCAGGACGCGACCTCTTTATCTCTTTCTCACAAGCCACAGCCAAAATGCCATGCCCACTGCGGCCAAGGCTTATGATCTATTCTCAAGACTCCACACAGGGAATGAGCTTTATTTTCTGGGCTGGCAAGGTGGCTCAGAGGGAGAGGTACAGGTGTGGGGGCCTGACTCCATCCAGAACCCTCAAGGTAGAAGGAGAGAACACCTCCTGAGAGTTGTCCTCTGGCCAGCACCAACCAGCCCTGGCATATCCGTGCCTACCTCCTGTGTGCACAGGCACATACACACACACACACACACACACACAAGATCATCACCAACCAGCCCTGGCATAGTTGTGCCTACCTACTACACACACACACACACACACACACACACACACACACATACTTAAAAACATTTTGTTTGTTTGTTTTTTTGAGACAGGGTCTCTCTATGTAGCCCAGGCTGTCCTGGAACTCACTTTGTAGACTAGGCTGGCTTCAAACTCACTGAGATCCCTTGCCTGTGCCTCTGGAGTTCAGGGATTAAAAGCCAGCACCCTACTACCCAGCACTTAAAAACATTAAAGTAAAATGACTTCCTGTGGAGATAAGCCTGGGAACATAAGCCACATGTTTAAAAGTCTTACAAATGGTGGACAGTGGGTAAGGTCTAATGACTTCCAAGAATAAGAGGCTGAAGTGATGGCTCAGCTATTAAAAGCATTTGCTGTTCTTACAAAGGACCAAAATTTGGTTCCCAGAATCCATTAGGATGGTTTACCTGTAACTCCAGCACCAGGAGGCTCTTCTGCCCCCGCACCCCTCCACACAATTCTTCATTTCAAAAAATTCAAAACACACTGGCCACAAAATAAAAGGTAAAGTTATCAGATTCCAGAATCCCCCAGAACACACATCACAGGGGAAAACACAAAACCAAAACGCTGACAACACACGGTTAAAGAAGAAACAGCTCAATCCCAGGTGGTATTTAACCTCAGCATTAACCTCAGCAACCAGGAGGCAAGTTCCAGGCCAGCCAGGGTTACAGTGTCTCAAAAAACAAAAACCACAACCTCCAAATCAAAAGAACAGACAGACACAAAGAGAAAGAGACTAAATAAATAAATAGATAGATAGATAAATAAATAAATAAATAAATTCTAGTCCTGGCTGGAAAGAGGGCTCAGGTTAAAACCATCTACTGCTCTTCCAGAGGACCCAAGATAATTAATTCCCAGCACCTATGGCAACTGCTCAACTCCAGTTCCAGGGAGATCCAACACCTCGGGCCTCTGGAGGCCCCTACACTCAGGTACACACCATTAACATTGTTTTTAAAAACCAGCTGTTTCCCCAACACTCCAAACACAGCCAAGTGGCCCAAATACTTTCTGCAAAGATGAGAAAACCGAGATGTGAAAATCAAAGCACTTGGCTAACATTTCGTAATCTCCATATCGCTCTGGGCGTGGCGGTGCGCTTTTAATCACAACATTTGTGAGGCAGAGATGGGGGCGGGGGCCGGGGGTAGTCATCTCTGAGTCTGAGGGCAGCCTGGTCTACCCGGAGTTCCGGGCCAGCCAATGTTATTATAGTGAGACCTGTTTCAAAAACAAACACCTTCCAATAAATGACACATCGGATGGTTAAGGCGTTCAGCAGAGCAGTTTGGGTGCTTTAGTGGCACACCGTCTCAAAACAAAACAAAGCAGTTGCACCGTGATGCTAATCCCAGAACTAGGGAGGCAGAGACAGGCGATCTCTGTTCCTCCTGCTGTGCATAGCGAGTTCCTGGACAGCCAGGGCTACACAGAGAGAACCGGTCTCAAAAACAAAACAAAAGTCCATTTTTTCTAGTCTGGGCAAAACAAAACACAGTCCCCAGTGCTCTGGACCTCTATTATGATTTGGTTTTCAGCTCTCTAGGCTCCGCAATCTAACACTGCCAGGCTGGATGGTGAGGGGTCGGCACGCATCATTTCCTCCCCTCGCCCCACTCCCCACCCCGGCGGGGAAGCCACCTGCCGTTTCATAACCGGCAAGCGTTCTCTTTTCAGAGTGCTCATCACAACCTGTTAACCCGCACCGGACCAGCCTAAGGAGGGCGGCTGTGCAGCAGCGGCCGCAGGAGGAGCCGGCAGCCGCGCTCCCCGGCAGTCCCTAGAGCCGGCCCGGCGTCCCTCGGCGTCCCCAGCCTGCAGCGGAGCCCCCGCGGGGCGCGCTTCCGGGGCCCGGCACCGCACCGCTCCCCGTCCCCAGCCTCCCGTGCGCCACCCGCGAGACTGTGCAAGCCATCTCCGTCCCCGGGCGAACGACGCGGCCCCCGCCCGTCCAGGGGCCTCCAGCAGCCAGGCCCCAGGCCGGGCGGGGCGCAGGGATGCCGGGCGGGCGCGCGTTGCCATGGCGACCCCGGGAGCCCCCCCCCCCGGCCCCGGCCTTTAACTCCCGCCGATTGCACGGCCCCGGCGGCGGTGGATGGTGACCCCCGGCTGCTGTCCTTACCCATGGCGACGGTGCGTGTGGGGCACGGGCTCGCGGGGCGGGTCAGCAGCGAGCTCCCCGCAGGCGCGCGGCGGCCACCGCGTCTGACCCGGTTCGGTGCGGCCACAGCGCCCCTGGCGGCCGGAGGACGCCACGGCCGGCCGCGCGATCGGGTCCCCGCCGATCATCCGAGGCTTTCAGGGAAAGCGTGGCGGGGGATCTAGGGGGGCTCGGCTCGCAGCACAGCGCCAAGGGTGGATGGAGAAGGGGCCTCAAGCCACCTGCAAAAGCTTTATTCACGCAGGCTGGGCGGGTTTAATGGATCGCACCCGGCCGCTCCCTTTGATCTTGACAAACCCGGAGTGGGCCGACAGATTTTAGAAAACCTCAGGCCATTAACAGAGACCGGAGCTGTAATCTCAGCATTTGCGGGATGGGCGTTAAAAGGATCGGTCGTTGAAGATCAGGCTCGGGTACCTAACGCGTTTGAAACCAGCCTAGTCTCCAACACAAGACCGTTTTAAAAATCAAGAACTCCACTGAAGTCCGGGTGCGGTGGTTGCACCCTGCTAATCCCAGCACTCATTCAGGAGGCGGAGGCCCGAGGATTGCTGGAAAGTCAAGGTTACTCTAAGCTGCATAGCAAGTGCCAGCTCATCCAAGGCTACCTAGAAAGACCCGGCCCACATAACAAAAGGTAATATTTTGTAGAAGGGTGTGGTGGACTTGTAAATACCAACTCTTAGGAGGTGGAAGCAAGATAACATGGAGTGTTTGTTGCTAAAGTTCCTTTCCTGGGGGAGGCGTAAACAATGTCTACCCAATCCTCCTAAAATCCCAGGACAAACGGAGGTACGATTCCACCGGTGACTGGAACCCTTCACCCTGGAGAATCAGTGAGCCATGGAGAGAAGTGTGGGTGAGCTTGAAACAACTGTACGGATGGTGACCCGACCCCGACCCTCCCCAGTGACTGCACAGATAAGAGTCACCAGGACAGCCAGGGATATACAGAGAAACCCTGTCTAGAAAACAAAACAATCCATGCAACTCACAGCCAGGCAGGAAAACTGCTTCCCCGACACATAGTGAGAGAAAGAACATTCCATCCCTTTCCCATAGCGGTAAACAGGTTTTACAGAAGCAAGCCCGCTGTTAATAACTCACAGCCCACTCTCCCATTCTTACCTCACCTGCAGGCCACTAGGCTCTCCCTGGCATTCCAGAGCAAAAGGTCAATGGCCCTTAAGGGATTCCTGATTCCATATTAAGTTTCTTAGTCATCACGGGACCTGTGTAAATTATTACTCAGGTCTGAGCACCCTAATGACTGGGATAGAGTAGCTCATTTCTGGGTAGGCCAATCCGGTTAGGACTGGCTATCACGTCCTCACACTGGGATTGATTAATGGTGTGTGCCACCACGGCCGGGCCAGGGTTACCTTACTTTAAATTTACTTGAATAAAGCCAAACCTGTCCTCTAAAATTTCTCAAAATTTCCACTAGAGGGTCTCGAGATGCGGCCCAGGGGTACGTGCTGGATCTGACCGGCCAAACCGCGACACAAACAAACCCAGGAACAAAAATTGACAGTCCGACCAGCCATGTGTCGCTTTGGCTGCTGTCTTGGAACGTGTGAAGTGAGAATTTCCTCGTTGTTTTATTACTGTCTTCTGGCTATCTTGGTCTTATTCTGTACTCATGTTACCATGGGGACCACCTTTCCTCGTGGTTGGGCCTTATTCACAGTTCGTGACTTGTGAGGACCTTGTTCAAGTCTTTGATCTTTGCCTTACTTAGATTTAATATTCCATAGTAGCCTGGTGTCAGGTACGTGTGTCATTGTCCTCTGGTCTTTTTAAAAGATGACATTTAATTGCCCCCGGCCCCAGGTCAGAAGACAACCTTCAGGAGCTGGTTCTTCTTCTACCAAGCACACTCCAGGAATCTTAACTGAGGTTAGCAGACTTGTCTTTACCCACTGAACCATCTTGACAGCCTGGGCTTAGCGTTCACTTTTTACGTGTACAGGTGTTTTGTTGGCGTGCACGTCTGTGCATCACATGTGTGTGGTGATAATTTGTATGTTAATAAAGTTTGTATGAGATCAGCCACTGCAAGGTGGCAAGCTAAGGCTAGTCGTGGCTATTCAGTCTGATCTCTTCGGCTATCACCTCTGTATTTGGCTCTGTGTTTCTTATTTAATAGGACTGTTTAGAAATTCGTCTATACATGTGTGCCTGGTGCCTGGGTAAGCCAGAAGAGGCCATGGGATCCACCTGTTACATGGCAGGTCACTGTCTGTAACTCCAGTCTCTGTGGGTCCCATGACCTCTTCTGTGTGCCAGCCCAGCACCAGGCACACATGTGGCACACAAACATACAAGCAAAACACTGGTGCACATAAAAACACTTTTTTTGGGCTGGAGAGCTGGCTCAGAGGTTAAGAGCACTGGCTGTTCTTCCAGAGGCCCTGAGTTCAATTCCCAGCAACCACATGGTGGCTCACAACCATCTGTAATGAGATCTGGTGCCCTCTTCTGTCCTGCAGGCTGAACATTCACTGTATACATGATAAATAAATAAATAAATAAATAAATAAATAAATAAATAAATAAATAAATAAATAAATACATTATTTAGGAATTGCAGCACATGCCTGTAATCCCAGCATTTGGGAGGCAAACATTTTTGCCAAATTTGGGGGCAGCTTGGTCTGCACAGTAAGTTCAGGCCTAGCCATGGCCACACGTAACCAGATCTTTTCTCAGTAAGTAAATAATACAGAATATACTAGAGCCATAAAGAACCTGGAGGACACACAGGGTCGCTAGAGATTGGGGATATAGCCCAGTTGGTAGTGTTTGTCTAATATGCACGAAACCCTGGGTTCAATCCCCAGCATTGCGTAATCTGTGACTGTGTGTGTGTCTATTCGTAATCCCAGCTCTCGGGTGAAAATAGACTAAGGTCATCCTCAGTTTGAGGCTAGACCCTGACTCAAAAAAAAAAAAAAAAAAAAAAAAAGCTCACCGGGCGGTGGTGGCGCACACCTTTAATCCCAGCACTCAGGAGGCAGAGGCAAGAGGATCTCTGTGAGTTCGAGGCCAACCTGGTCTACATAGTGAGATCCAGGACAGGCACCAAAACTACATAGAGAAACCCTGTCTCATAAAACCAAAACAAACAAACAAAAAGCTCTCAGCAGCCTCTTCTGGAAACCTGCCTTTAAAGTGAGGGAGAATGGGGAAACACCAGAGGCCAAAACTCTTAACCCGTTCCCAAACCAGGCCTGTTTTATCTGACAATCACCGAAACCATCAATTTGCAAGTGTATATACGGGTGACCCCTGAAGACGGAGACGAGTGAGCAGGTTTGGAATCTGTGAAGGAAGCTCTGAGGAAAGGCAGAGCTGCCTCTGGCTTCCCCACTGAGGGGTGGCAAAGCTCAAAGCACAGAAACATCTATGTAGAAAACATCTTGACTCCGTCAAATAACTAAGTGACTGGAATTGGAACTGGAGAGGTAGCTCAGTGGTTAAGGGCACCTGCTGCTCTTGCAGAGGACCTGAGTCTGGTTCCCAGCATCCATGTTGGGAGGCTCATAACAACCTGTAATTTCAGCTCCAGGGCTCTGCCACCCATTTCTGGCTCAGAAGGCACCCCTGCACATGTGTACACACACACACACACACACACACACACACACACACACACACACTTAAAAAAAAAAATCTGCCGGGCGGTGGTGGCGCACGCCTTTAATCCCAGCACTCGGGAGGCAGAGCCAGGCGGATCTCTGTGAGTTCGAGGCCAGCCTGGGCTACCAAGTGAGT